CTAGTGTTCTCGGCAGCGCTGTGGACCAGCCCTGGACCCGGGTTCTTCCTTCCTCTGAGGGGCCATCAGGAGGGGCTGGCCACCTCTTGTTGGCCTCTGCTCTCTGGCCATTGGCCTCTGTGCAGACTCATCACACCACCGTGATGCACAAGCACAGACCATGTCTGAATTCCTGGAGCCCCAGAAGCCCTGGCCGGAGGGCTCATCTCATTGCCTTTTCCTTCCCCACTTAGGATGTCTCGATCTTGCCTCAGTGGCTTTGCTCCAACTGCCAGGCGGCATATGACTCTGGCCACATTGAGATGGCCCTGGTAGAAGCCCTTCAGAAGAAGCTGATGGCCTTTACCCTGCAGGACTTGGTAAGGGCCTGGAGGTGGGGCACTGGGCCGGGCACATCCCATTCAGGGCCTTGCAGCACTGTGCCTGCAATGTCTTCTCTAAGGAGAGCATCCCTGTCCATTAAACAAGCATCAACGGCCTTTTGAGAGAAGCAGGTGATAAGAGGGGAACTCCCCCAGAAGAGAGGTCCCTTCACTTGGAGGACCACAGGCTCGTGGTGACTGGGGCTGGCTTTCCGGGTGGTAGCAACCAAACTCGTTAACCCTTGAGAGAGAGGGAAGGAATTCCTGGGGAGGGCCCAGGGACTGAGTCACTGCTTTTCAGTCCTATTTGCACTGGTCAAGAGAGTAGCCTTGCATTTCCCAGCTGTGAGGAAATGAGGTGAGCCCATTAAGAAAGTCCTCCAGTCATTCAGCAAGTATTTATTGACACCTATGCCCACCCCCAGGGGGGATACAGAGGGAAGAGAGAACACTGCCCCTGTTCTCCAGGCCCTCACGATATATGCAGGGGGCAGTTAAGATCTGTAGGCCCCAGTACAAAGTTAGCATCTTGTGTAATCAAACACTTCATTATTTGGGATAGCTTATCACTGAAGGGAAGAGGAAATTCAGAGGCTACAGTGGTCAGGGAAAGGAGAGTCGTGCAGGTGGAAGAGGAAAGGTTTGAGAATCTGCCTGAGATACCCACAACGTGTGTTGAGGAGCAGTGGGAGGTCAGGTTGGCCACAGAGAGAAACCAGATCATGGAGGGCCTGGATGGTTAGGCATGTGAGCATGACCTCAGGCATCCGGGAGCTATTACAGCTTCTTGAGCTGAGGCCCGAGGGAAGGAGGCTGTGGGGTCTGGCACTGGGGGCTTTGGAGCCCATCCCTCCCACCCAGCTCAGTGGGGAGCCTGCAGCCTGCTGGGGAGGTTCCTTCAGCTTTCCTGTTTGTTTTAGATCTGCCTCAAGTGTAAAGGGGTGAAGGAGGCCAACATGCCCGTCTACTGCAGCTGTGCCGGAGACTTTGCCCTGACCATTCAGACCAAGGTAAGAACAGGCCCATCCTTCCTGGGGGGAGTGGTCTCAGCTCAGCCCATCGAAGGGTTTCCTTTCAGGTTCTGTCTGTGGCATCTTCACTTTCAGTAGTTCTGCTCTCCCTCGTGGCCCTCTCCAGCCTGATGGCAGTTCCTTTCTGCCTTTGTAGGTCTTTGTAGAACAGATTGGCATCTTCAGGAACATTGCCCGGCATTATGGTATGACCTACCTGACGGAAATGATCGAGTGGTTGCTACAGATGAATCCCCAGCTTGCCAACTAGCCCTCAGCCAGAGGGCACAAGGGACACAGGCTCTCCCAGTGCTCTGAGCTAGAACTTTAGCCGTGGTCTCTGTCCCACTGTACCCAGTGTGACTGAGCTCTTCCTCTGGGGGGGTGGAAGACACGCCACTTACATGTGACCAACAAGTTAGCATTTCTAAACCCACGGGAAGAAAGGACACTGGGCAAAGCCTTGTAGCTCTGGGAGAATCCCCAGAACACTTGAAGTGGCAGCTGACTGACCACAAGTGGTCCAAGGAGATAAGGGTGAGGAAGTGGTTCGCTCTTCCCGCCTCCTGAGCATTCATCATGTGAAGAGCAGAACCAGGCCTGAAACCTTCCAGGAAGGAGGGTTCTGAGCCTCTGGAGATGTCTGGATTGTCATGGCTACTTCTGTGACTGAGAATCAGGTGAAGACTTTGAGGATTGGTTCCTGTGTGAATAAATGTCATTCTGTACAGAACAGCTCTTACTCCGGGCCTGTGGCAGGGGAGTCTCTCGGGACCATGCTTTAGGGGACCTGCTAAGGGTCTGCTGCTGGTGGGCAGAGTTCTGCTCCCTGCCTGGAAGAGCTTGGGCAGGGGGCCAGGTGCCCAGGCCACAGTCCTGGAGGACAGAAGTGGCTACCAGCTTCTCTGGAAACCTCTCGCTTCCCCGGAACAGTGCCCCGTTACCCTGCCAGGCACCAGCACGAGCATGCAAATGATTGTGTCGAGCCAGTTTGTTTTCATTACTGCATTGGCCAGGGCTCCACACTTAAGGAAAGCAGGATTTGTAGCAATTATCTTGGGAGGGTTGGAAGCCTGGAGTATTCCAGGAATATTGCCCTTGTTGGCATTCTACGTGTCCTGAGGAAAACTAACTATTGAACTGTGCCTGGGGGGCATGAGCCAGACCCACAGGCCTGACCCTGTCCCCCTTGTCAGCTGAAGAGTTCGGGAGTAGGGATTGGAAAAGGGGGGTGTCCAAGGAGCTGGCCCCCAGCAGAAGGCTCTTCTGGGGGGGATGAGGGGTCTGTCCTAGGAAGCCTGGGCTCTTGGTAACCAGACCCAGCCTGGGGGGGCTCCAGGTTGGCCTGAGAGAGCACCAGAAAGCGACGGCCGCTCCCCAGTGCTGTTGGAAACTTGAGCTGCCCAGGTAGATGAAGCCAGAGTCAGCTTGGCTTGCAGAGGCTCTGGAGTGAAGACAAAATCAAATTAAAGAGAAGGCAGAGGCAATGGGGGGGAGGGAAAGAATGAGGCAAGCTGGGCTTCCTGGAAGAGCTGTGGCCAGATATCCCAGGGCAGACTGACGGGGAAAGTGCTGGGCCCTGGGGGGCCAGGGAGTGCTGGAGGCTTCCATTCTGCACACTGGGTCTGACCCTGAGCATCGCCTGCTCAGGTGACAAGGCTGGGAGGTTGTCCCTGGAGGTGCCAGAGAGGACATTTAACGGCCCTGGCTCCCTCTGTAGAAATGGGCATGAGCCGGGGTCAGTGAGGCCACTTGAAGGCCTCTGTGGGGGAGAGTCCTAGTGACCACTGGTGCTTGGGGATTAGAAATCAGAGCCCTCAGAACTGGCTTTCTCCATCTCTGAGCTGCTGCCAGATGCCCAGCTGGAAAAGCCAGTTTCTCAGGTCTTTAGGGCTGTAACACAGATACCCTGGACACGGCCGGTGACTGAGAGCTCTTCAGTGCAACCCACTTTCCACAAGAGACACAGGTGTGCCTGTTAGAAAAGCAGGGTGCTTTCCTCCCTGCCTCTCATGGCCTCAGCTCCCCAACTGATGCCATTACTCTGACGCAGAAGTGGAGCACTGAAGCCCCGAGGTCCCTGGGGATTGGTGGTGTTCCGAGCTGGGCCTCCCTTGCTAGTCGGGGGGAATAGGGAGCAGAGCCTGGGGGCGATGGGTGAGGAGGACCGAGAAATACCCATGTAGGATGCTGAGAGAGGTTGAGGTCTTCATTAGCAGCCAGAAAGAGCTGAGCAATCTGATTACCCACAGACACACTCGGGTCACTCCATTACTCCTAATCAGGTTAGTGTCGGCTTCCTCTTCTCTCCCTTCCCAGCAGTGGCCTTCCAGCTCACATCTGCTCCCTACACGCCTCTCCCTTGTCATTGCACTGATGCCTCTCTCCTTTCACCCTTAACTTTGATTTAGGCTAAGAGGGTGAGGGGCTGACCAGCTGAGAGAGGCAGGATCACCACCTGGGACCCTTAGTCCCCCATCCCCCAACTCCATGACCATTCACTTTCCTTGCCGCAGAGGGAGACTGACCTCAGACTTCTCCCATGGAGTATGAGGCAAGCTTACCCGCTTGGGGGGAGGGGAGGACAGGTTTAAGAAGAGCAGTCTGAAATAGCCCCAGTGTGTTAGAATGAAGAACAGGAGCATCACCAAGCAGCGACAGGGGCCAGGCTCAGAATCTCAAGGTTTGGAAGGGGCCTGGAAGTGCATTTAGGGCATCTAATCCAGACCTGAACCCACTTCCCTCCAGCATACCCAACAAGCAGTCCCCCGGCCTCTGTCTAAAGCCACCTTTGTAACCTCTGAGGCAACCATTCCACTTGGAGACAGCACTCAGTTAAATTGAGTGATGGAACGTTGGCACTGTGGCCGGTCTACACATTCCAGCCCTTTGTTCCGGAGGGTGGGAACTCAGCTCAGTGATCTGTGTGGTCTAAACTGGTCCCAAAGCCAAGCTGTCCCCTTCACCCCTACCTCATGAGCTGTGTCCGGGAAAGGGAGTGTTCTCAAGCTGCCTCTTACCCTTTGCTGATGACCCTCTAGCCCTATCAGAAAGGGGCCTTTCAGGTCTGGAAGTGAGTGATTGGCTTATGCCATGCTCCCAAGAACAGGTAAGGTCCAGCAGGCTCTGGTCATATATAATTTATTGGAGCTCACTGCCAACTTGTTCCCATTTGCATAAGGAGGTTCGTGGGGACCCCTCTAAGGAAGGGATGGAGTATATATGCCAGGGTAATGAAGCTGGAAGGGATGATATGGAATCTCCCTCTTCCACTCGCCCTGGAATGGGAGTTCAGGTCTGAGGAAGGGGTATCTGTCACTAAGCCATCTGGCAGCAGGCTCATGGGGAAAGAGGGAGGGGATTGTGAGGTGTCCAGTAGGGGGGAAATTGAGGTCTCAGCTGGTGGGAAGAGAGGGGTATAATCTTGCTGAGGGTCCAGAGTAAGGTTCTGAGATGATGGTATGGGGCAAGGATGAGGGAACGACTACAAGGGTGGGGACTGGAGGAGAGAACCATCTCTCCTGTACCCCAAGTTTCTATTAGCCAGGTCCCCAAAAACTAGGTTGTCAGGAGGACAGGCAACAGTGGGGGCCCAGACCCAAGCCCGTTGATCTGAGCTGCCCCTTGGTCTAGCAGCATCAGCCCAGAGACCTTGTCTTTTGGCGGAGCTGTTGACTTCAAATGACCCTGTGGCCCCAGCCAGGGCCTCACTCTCTAAGCAGCACAAGGAAAAGGTGGAGATGGTGCTGGGGGTTCAGAGCTGGGACAAGCCTTTGGGTTCCATGGGTATGGAGTCCTGTGAAGAAGCCCGTGGGCTGGAAGGCCCTTGTCCTTCACTCGGGTCCTGGGTATCCACCATCTGCTTGGACCAGGGGCAGAGATGGAGCACAGGCTGATCCCCAAGCTAGAGATTTCTGTGTGGTAGGGATTAGGGCTCTGGGCTACTGGCCCCTCTTCTGTAAGTCATTTTCCTGGGGTCCTTCCCTGAGCCTCAGTTTGCCCATCTGTAGCAAGGGGAAGTGGAACTCTGGCTCTGGCTTGTAGAGCTGTCTGTGGGGCACTGCCCAGGGAGGGAGAGGGAAGGGGAGTGGGTTGTACCTTGTCAAACTTTCTGTGACTGTAGACCTTATTCTTGTTCATGAAGGTCAGTAAGATCCAGTCGCAGAGGAAGGAGCCCTTGAGGGTAAGAGGTAGGGGTCTGAGTAAGCATTCTGCCAGCCCCATGCCCTCCCCAGGACCCCAGGGGAACACACTTACCACACCAATGGAAGTCAGTGCTGTGGCCACATTAATGATGGTGGGAATCAGGCTAAATTTCCCAGCCTGGTGGGAAGAGACATTTTTAGGCTTCTACACTTGACAGCCACTGCTTTGAACCCTTCCCTTAGGCAGTATCATAACCCTCAAAGGCTGCTGTCTCCCTACCTGTCCATGCACAATAACATCAATTCGGATCCCATAGGCCTTGATAAGAGTACGGGAGTCTGTGCCATTGTGGTTGTAGTACTTGGCAAATCTAGAATGGAACAGGGCCGGGGGTGAAACGTGCCACCTGTACAGTTAACACTGCCACGGGACATTGGACAGTGCCTAAGAGGTCCTCATGCCTGTCCCCCCGCGTTGGGCTGAGGGTGGAAAATTGGACTCCTGGCTTCTGGTCGCTTCCCTCTCCAATCCATCCTCCACCCAGCCACCAAAACAGCGTGGCGACCCGTATTGGCCCAAGTATTGGCGAGGTCGCTCCTATGAAGGAATCTTCAGTGATCCCCTAGGGCAGGTTCCCCACCTCTGTCCTAGTGATTTTGGGGCCATATCCAGACACCCTTGCTTGACTTTTCATGCCTTTCACTGAAAGCCAGAGCCTGCCTTTGCAGGCTTATTTCAAAGTGCTCCCTTCCTTCCACTTCCACTCCTGGAATGCACTCCCTCCGCAGCTCGACCTCTTAGAATCTCTGGTTTCCTTCAAGACTTAGCTTGCCAATCAATCAACAGGCACTAATATTAAGTGCCCACTATGTGCCAGGAACCCCTTTTCATTCCAGAGCCCTCCTCTTTTAATTATTTCCTATTTATCCTGTATATAGCTTGTTTGTATATATTTGTATACATGTTGTCTCCCCAATTAGATTGCAAGCTCATTGAGGGCAGGGACTGTCTTTTGCCTCTTTTTTATCCATGGTGCTTATATAGTGCTTGGCATACAGTAGGTGCTTAATAAATGTTTATTGACTAACTGTCCTAGGTGCTCAGGATACAAACACCGAATCCAAAGATGCAGCGATCAACAACAGCAAGCATTTATTAAAAACCTACTGAGTGCCCCGCACTGTGCTGGGCCAGCGGATACAAAAAAACACTGAAGCAGACCCTGCCCTCAAGTAGCTTACATTCAACCCAAGAGCAGCTCCTGTAGCACCTTTAGGGAGCTTTCCCTGAACCCCCTCATTATTAGTGTTCTCTCCTCAAATTATGTGTATACTTATGTTCACACATCATAGCCCCACTCCTGGTAGACTGTAAGCTCCCTGAGGGAGTTTTGTTTTGTCTTGGTGTCCTTAGCATCTAGCACGGTGCCGGGGACGTGGTTGCTTGAATGCTTGTTGGGTTGGATTAGATGGACAAATGTATTGACTAAAGTTTAGGTACAAACTCTCCCCTAGCCTTCCTCTTGGGAGGTCCGTAGTCTTCTACTTGTCCCCTTTTGTCTTTGCCTAGAAGGAAGAGTCCCAGGCCTTGGGAATCCTCTCGCCTTGGCTCTTAGGCCAGCCCTAGCCTGCTGGTGTTGGTGATGAGCCCTGCCCACTGTGTACTGGCTGGGCAGGCTGGAGAGGCACTGAGTCCCAGGAGAGCCGCTCCCAGGAGCTTCCAGGGCATACCTGTAGTTGTAGCCCGAGGAAGCCTGGATGTGCTTAGGGTCAAGCCGCCGGAAGGAATATTTGGGATTGCATTTGGACTCAGACAGGTCCAGGTCACAGTTCCAGTTGATAATGACCCCAATGACTCCACCCTGCAGAGAAGAGAAGAGAAGAGGAGCTAGGATTACAAGGATATGAGAGGCATGGTGGTCCTGCCCCTTGAGTCAGAGCATTGGCTCACCCTTATTCCCTGTGTGACCCTGGACAAGTTAGATAACCTCTCTGGGCTTCAGTTTCCTTCTCTATGAAATAGAGACCTCTGAGGTCTCTTCTCTCTCTAAATCTATATTGCTATGATTGGAATGGAATGAGGGTTGCTTATAAGAAAGGAGATAGGTAGTGTCCATGACCCATTCAGACCTGAAGGTAGAAGAGGCAATATACTGAAAGAGTCAGGGCTAGGTCGGACCTTATTATATAGGTTAACCCTGAGAAAGGAAGTATCATGAAATCATAGATTTGGGATCTCAGAAGTTACTTGCCCAACCTCCTCATTTTACAGCTGAGGAAGTGAAGTGAAGTAACTTGCCCAGGGTCACGCAGGTAGTAAACTGAAGATTTGGGATTCGAACTCAGATCTTCTGACCTCAAATCCAGCGTTCTTTTCACTGCACCACACTTGGAGGGTCGGCCCATAGCTTGAGAGCCAAAGTCCCTCACCCTCATACCTTCCTCCAGCTCTCCCTCTGCCCACCTTCAAAATTTTCCATGGCTTCCTCAGCCCACATGGAAGCTGGCGGGCCAGCCATGAGCACCAGCTGTCAATAATTCAGCAGGTGTTACGTATACCCAAGTTTGCCAGACAGTTCACATTTCTCTTTCCTCTGCCTCTGGTGGCAGGTGGAGCCAACCCATATTCTGAGACAGGAGAGACTCGGTGACCCTCCCACAGGGATACGGATCCTCCTATTCCTCATTCTCCCTTCACTGGGGCTTTGACTGCGTTTGGTGCCCTTTACCAAGCTGATCAGAAATCCAGGAAAAAGCTACTGAGAAGGAGCTCTTCTCCTGGCCTCCATATTCCAGTCCTGAGCCCCCATCACTGTGCTTCATTCCCCAATTCCAACACTTCACTCCTGAGCCCCTGGTCTCATAGTGTATTGCTGAGTTTCCAGCCTCCCAGCCTTATACTTCATTCCTGAGCCTCCCAGCCTTACACTTCATTCCTGAGCCTCCATACTTCTGTTCTGTCATCCCTACCCTATATACAACACTCCTGAACTCAAGTCTCACCCTCCACTTCTGAGCCCCCAGTCTCAGATTTTGAAACTGCCACTTTTATGATGGGGTCCCCTTGGCCCCCACACTACTCCCAAGTCCCAAGTCTCATACTTTGCTCCTGAGTCCCTACTCCTCAGTTCCATCCCCTCACCCTCACCCTTCATATTCTCCTTTCTCCCTCTCCCAAGCCCCAACCTTGTATGCCAGCTCTGTGAAGTTCTCTCCTGCCTGTTCCACAATGAAGCCCAATTTAAATATGGGACAGTAGAGGTCGGTGTCAGCATTGAAGGTGCAGTGTTTCAAGTAGCCATCATCATAGTCTCTGATGTTCCCCCTGGGAGATAGAGGAGGACCATGGTGGAATTGGGACAATTCTCTCCCCTTGCTCCCAAGTGGCCCACCTCCCCTAGAAGTTGGGGTTGGGGCAGAGATATTTCTTCAGTCAGAAGAGCCCAATCTCATCTCCAAGCCAAGTATGATGACCGCCTTCCCTGTAGCTCTCCCCTTCCCCCTTACCACCTCATCCCCTGCTTTGGGCCCCATGACAAACTGCTTATTTGTCTCTTACTTGGAAAACTGGAATTTAGGGTAATGTATGCTGTTCTTGATGAGGATGGTGAACTGTGGGGCCATCTGTCCCAGGAACTCACTGAAGAGAAAGGATAGACAGATCAAGAGTGAGGGTCCCCCTCCTCATATGGAACAGAGTGCTGCATCCCTGACCAGGGAGTTGGGTTTGTGGGATCAGATTCACCTCCCCTGCCCAAAACAGCTATGTCACACACACACACACACACACACACACACACACACACACACACATCCCTAGACCAAGGCAAAGGAGAATAATTTGCTCAAGACCCCACACCGATGGCATGGCTAGAACCAAAAGCCAGGTCTTCAGATGGTGGGACTTAGAGCTGGAAAGGATCTTCCATAACATTTTGTTCAATTACCTCATTTTACAGATGAGGAAGCTGAGGCTTAGAAAAATTACTTGTCCAAGGTTTTGCAAATAGAGCTAAGATCTGGATCCAGGTCCTCTGACTTTTCATGTCAACTTTAGGAATAGCCTTGATCTGGCCAAGAGGCAGGTTGGCAGAATAGAAAGTGAACCAGGGGAGGGGACAGAGGATTTGGGTTCAAGTCCCACTTCTGACACCACTTGTGTGACATTGGGCAAGTTACTTCCATCAATTTTCTCATCTGTAAAATGAGGGGGTTGGGCTAGAAGTCCAGGGGGTCTCTTCCTGTGACTCCTGAATGTGATGGGGAGGGGCAGGGCAAGGGCCAGGGTGCTTCTGTAGGAAGCAGGCAGGCAGAGAAGGTTCCCTTCAGCCTGAGAACTTAGATCCTGGGGGACAATGATGGGTGCCGGTGTCTCTGGACCTGTTGACTGCTTCATCCTCCACAGGGCACCAGGCTGACACCTCACATGTCTTCTTGGTCCCTCGGTAATAGGGAACACAGCGGCCAGTTTTCTCTCCTAAGGAATTGGAGAGGCATGAAAACTTGGGGTGAAGGGGGTGAGGATAACTGGGTCCCTACTTTCAGAAGCAAGGGATTCTGCCTCTCAGCCATCCTGTGCTCCTATGTACTCACCATTGCCCAGCATGTCCATCTCCCCTGCTATGCAATCATCATCAGAGAAGCAGGTGGCATTGCGAATGCGGATGCTCTGGAGGACAAAAGGAAGGGTAAACCAGCTGAGCCCCAGCCACTGACTTCTAAATCCCTTTAACCATCCCCTCCTGGCTACACTTGTGTAAAGCTAGTGCTAGAAGAGACCATCTCCTAGGCCATCATTTCACACCTTACTTTATGTATTAGAAAAGCTCAGAGAGGAAGGAAAGGTTTTGCCCAAGGTCATACAGTTACTAAGCAGGAGGGATTTATACCCAGGTCTCCTGATTCCAAATCTTCCCCCCTCTAAACAAGACAAGGGCCCCTATGGATCCCTCATGATGCCTTCTATCCCTTTTTCCCCACCTCCACCTTCTTTAGTCCCTCCCTTCCAGTTACTGCCTAATTTCCAACCACCACCCCACCTATATCGAAAGATTGGCGCAATAGAAAACTCACCTCTGGGCAGGCTCCTAGGGTCTGGAAAGGAGTTATTTCTGCCCGAGTGATGATGCTAAACACACTGCCCCCCTAATCTCCAAAGAGGAGAAGAAAAAGTCATGGGGTGGGGTAGGATGGGGGGGGGACTGGCAATAGGAGCCCTTCCCTCCATTTAGACCCATCTCTCTTAGGCAGGACAGGACAGGACAGAGGAAGCTGAGTTGATTGGTAGGGGCCAAGGGACAGGACAGCCATTATTTTCAACCCTGAGGAATTATACCATATCACTGGGAAGAGGGGGTGTCTGTGGTTCAGAGAGGTCCTCACCTCAGGGGGTTTCACATACTCTTCTACATCCCATACTTTCTTCTGGGACTTGGTGATGCCCTTGACCTTCGTGATGACAGAGCTCTCAGGCCCAGTCTCACTGTCCTGGTAGCCTTTCTGAATGATGAATACATACCTATCAAGTAGAGAGAGCACCCAGGACGGCTTAGGGCTCCCTCAGGGGCACCTGGGGCTGCCCTTTGGTCTGCTCTCCAGGGGGAATGCCTTCCCCCATCCAGAGCCCTCCTTTGGGAGTCCCCTAGGGGGAAACTGGCTCAATAAAGGACTTTTCCCTAGGGCTGCCCCATTACCACTCTGGAATCATTTCTCTCATTTTTGTTACTCTAAAAGGGGGGAAATTGGGTCTGGCCAGCTTCCTGAGCCCTTCTTTCCCAACAGCCTCTAGCATCCTTCACAATCAACTCTGCTCCATCTCTGTTTTCCACCCTGCTCTTTCCTACCCTATCCTACCCTATCACTCCCCCTCATCTTCTAGGTCTGTCTCCTTCCTCTCTCAGCTATGCCTTCTACTGCCTTCTGACCCTCCTCCTCCTTCTGCCTCCTCCTGGCCCCCAAGTCTATTCTTTCCCGCTGCCTTCCAGATCCCTACCCTTTCTTGTCCCTCAGGTCTATCCCCTTCTGGCTCCCCTTCCTCTGTCCCTTCCTGCCCCACCCCAAATCAGTCCCACATCTGCCCCTTCTCCTTGTGTCCCTTTTTGCCCCCCCCCCCATTGCTCCCCCAGGTCCTTCCCTTCTTGTCCCGCCCCATGTCTATCTTCTCCAGCAAACAGCTGCCCCGTTGTCCCATTTGTCCTCTCCCTGCTGCCCTCAGGTGTATCCTCTCCTGCCCTCCCCCAGGTCTGTCCCTTCCTGCCCCCCCCAGTTCTGTCCCTTCGTGCTCCCCCTGGGTCCTCCTTTTCCTGCTCCCCATGTCTTTCTTCTCCTGCACCCCTAGCCCGTCAAGCTTCTTTTGCCCCTCCAGATCCGTCCCCTCCAGCCCCCTCCTATCTGTTCCTCCTTCCCTTTGCCCTTCCCCCAGGGCCGAACCGCACCAGACAAAGTAGAGAAGGATGAGTAGCTGCACTGTGCGGTAGATGAAGCCCAAGTTTCTGTTCTTCACCACGATCACCTTGGGCGTCTCGTAGTCCCAGAAACCCCAGAAGACATTCCAACAGGTCTTGGCCTTGTGCCGGGCCGAACGCTCCTTCTCAGGGGCTGCTGGTTCAGAGGTATCCATGAGGAAGTGGGGTTCTGGGACCCCGGTCCCCTGCTCCCCCTCTGCCGGATCCGGAGCACAGGAGACACCCTCCAGTCCCTGGGCCCCTTGAGCCGTCTGTGGCATGGGCCGCTCGCTGCCTGCCAAGCCGCCTCTGCGCTTCCCAGCACACTGACCGGTCCCTCCGGTCCCAAAGTGCCCCGGCCACCCCTTCGGGGCGGTGATGGGGGAGCGGAGATGCCCGCGACAGCCACGCCCCCTCCCGGTCAGCCACCGCCCCTACACCCCCCTCCAGGTCTCCTCCCTCGTCCGTCCCCGCCTCTCACCCCTGGCCCCACTCCTCAGCAGGCAGCTGGGAGTTGGGGGATTTACGAGGTTGGATACCTCCCTGACCGGCCAGCTTCCCCGCTGCTCTGCCTCTCCCAAGGACGACGCATACCGTGTTAAGTAAAGCAGGTAAGGCGCCTTTGGCATCGGGGGAGACTGGAGGATGGGGGCTTGTGCCCAGGGATCATTCTCTCTCCCCCTCTACTCTTTAGGTGCCTAGGATTGAGACCATCCTGTGTTCCCTGAAACCCTCTGGAAGCGTTTTGCGGAGACCTTTGGAGGGCTGGCCCTAGGAGAGGGGATCCCAAGAGAAGGCATCTGTGCCCGTTCTGGCCACGGGAAAACACCCCACCGCCACGGCTATGGCAGGTCAGAGACGGGAACCTTCTTCCATTCCCCTGCGGGTCCCCAGGGAGACCTGAGTGAGATGTATTCGGGAATAAGGCGTGGGGCGTTCCGTGATGGTGGGAATGGGAAACACAAGCCATCCTGGAGAACAAACCGTTCACTGGCTAGCTCCCACCTAGCTCTCTCCAGGCCCTGCATCTGAGAGTGGCAGACACTGCTGGCTTGAGTCGTGAGGGCAGGGGGTGACACACAGTCGGAAGAGTTCCCCCCTTAGCCTTCTTGGAATTCTCTGCTCTAGAGTTTAAAGTGGGGAAAGAAAAATCCCGCAGAGTTGCATCCCCACTCCCCACGCTTCTTCCACCCTGGGTTTTGGAGAGCAGGGCACAGAGAAGGGGAACTAAGGAAGAGAGCAGAAAGAAAAGCTGGCGAGAAGAGGAAGGTGGGGCATGAAGAGGGCCGCAGAAGACCTCGGAAGGCAGTGCTCTGGGACGGAAAGAGTATTGGATTTGGAGGCAGGCAGGCTGAGGCAGAACCCCAACCATGCCTCCTGCTCCCTGTGTGAGTCCGAGCAAATTATTCTCTGTGCCTCAGTTTCCTCTTCTATAGAAAGAGGGTGTTGTGTTTGATAACCTCTGAGGTCCCTTTCAGCTACAAGTCTATGATCCTAGTATCTCTTGCTGTTCAGGGTTCTAGTACATGCCTCTGTTTGCTTGTCTGTAAAATAGACAAGATCGGCATTACCTAGTTTTATAGGGCCATTGTGGGGATAAGCTGTTATCCCCAAAACATAGTTACACGATTTTCCCAGCATTAGTAAAATACCTAGTATATGTAAGATTGCTGGGGATATGACCCCTGCCCTCATGGAGCTTCCAGTCTACTGAAACATAACTATGGTCATTTATTATTTTGGCCATCATCCTATTATCAAGAAGGCAGGCAAGCATTTATGAAGCACCTATTGTATTCCAGGAACCTACTAGGTGCTAGGGTGTTAAGGCAAAAATGAAATGATTCCTGCTCTCAGGGAGCTTACTTTTTATTGCAGAAGACAGCATGTACATATGTAGGTGTATACAAAATAGACATAAAGTAATTTTGGCAGGGAGACACCAGAAGGTGGGGGGGTCTAGAAAATCTTCATGTAGAAGGTGGTAATTGAGCTTAGAAAGAAACTAGGGATTCAAGGAAATGAGTGGGAGGAATGAGGGAACAGGCTGTACAAAGACATGGAGATGGGATAAAGAGTATCAAAGCCTCTAATGTCCTGGTCTGGTCCGTTTAACAAAATAGGCCATCCCACAGAATACCTACTTTCCATTGGAAGACAAGGATGATAAAATACTTTCAATCCCTGTGGCAGATTTCATGAAATTCCCAAGGCAATGGAGAGCTAGAAGAGAGACTTTCTTTCCTTTTTTTAAAATTCTTTTTCTTTCCCTACCTTTTGCCACTTTCTACCCTTTCTCAAACCATCTCTTTCTCTCTTTCAGTTTCCCTTTCTCTCCCCTTTCTTTTTTTCTTCTTTTCTCCCTGATACTCCCCTCTCTGCTTCTCCCTTTTGGTCTCTCTTGCTTTAAAAAAATTAAACATTTTATTTAAAACCTTTCGTACCATTGTACAAACAACTAAATTTGCCTTGGTATCTATTTATGTTCAAATCATTAAAAAAATTTTTTTATTTTAACTTAGCCAAAATGAGTATTTTAAAATGATTTAATTTATCTGATGAAGTAAAACCACTGGATTATTTGGTTCATCAGTTTTGTGGATTCAGAATGACAAAATTTTATTCATTCAAATTCAAAGTTCAGGGTTTTTCTTTGGTTTTTAGAAAAAAAAATATACTCTCTCAAACCCCATTCATTCCTTGACTTCTTGCAATATGGCTTCTACTCCCATCCTTTCCATTAAAATGCTTTATCCTAAATCGCTCATGACTCAAGAATCCTCACATATTAACTTCTTTAAACCTTTCCCTTCCCTTCCATGGCATTTCATTCACCCAGTTCTCTTTCTATCTCTCTGATGGCTCATTATCTGTCTATACTGGCTTCAGTCCTCCTGTTAACAAAAAATAGACATTTTCCAAGAGGGAAGAAAGAAATCTTTTCTTCAGTATCTTTCTTTCCCTCCAGGGTTTTTTTTTTAATTTTTTATTAATTTATTTATTTTTAGTTTTCAACATTCACTTCCACAAGATTTTGAATTCCAATTTTTCTCCCCATCTCTCCTCTCCCCCACCCCAAGATGGGGAGCATTCTGAATACCCCATCCCCCAATCTGCCCTCCCTTTTATCACCTCCCCCTTCCTCTTATCCCCTTCCCCTTCTATTTTCCTATAGGGCAGGATAGATTTCTATATCCTGTTGCCTATATATCTTATTTTTCAGTTGCATGTAACATTCGTTTTTAAAACTATGAGTTCCAACTTCTCTCCCTTCCTCCCTCCCTTATTGAGAGGGCAAGCAATTGGATATATTGTAGTCATGCAAAACACTTCCAAATAGTCCTGTTGTGAACAACTGTCAAATCAATCATTTTCAATGCATGAAGTGTCATGACACAATTTCTGTGCCTCCTTCTAGTCCCCATCAGAATTCTTCATTCTCATTTGCTTTTCTGTTGTTTATAATTCACCCTTCCTCCATTCCTCTGGTTTTGCTTTTTCACGTTTTGCATTATTTCATAAAGGTCTCTCCAGATCTCTTGGATTTCCTCAGACTTGCAAGTCTTGATTGAATTATAACCTCTCTCTCCTCTCTCTCTTTACCCCTCCCCCCCACTTCTTTCCCTCCTCTCCAGATCTCTCTCCCTTTCCTTTCCTCCCTCCTCCCTTTTCTTCCTTCCTCCCTATCAACAAGTCTTTATTAAGGAGGTGTCAGGAACTGTTCTAGGCACTGGAGAAGCAAGGACAAAGAATGAAACAATCCATACTTGTAAAATGAGCTTCCATTCTATCCCTCTTCCTTTCCCTTTCCCTTTCCCTTTCCCTTCCCCCCTTCTCTCCTCCCTTTTTCTTCATGTCTCTTTCCTTCTTCTTTCTTTCTCTCCCTCTTTGTTCTCCCCTTTTGGGTTCTATTATATCTGTGTCATTCCTATTACTACAACTGCCTTAAAACAAACAAACAAAAGCTTAAATCCTCATTAATAGCTTGGAACTCTAGGAAATCTCTTCTGAGAGATTTGAATGATATAGCTCCATCCCTGCTCTGCTCCTGCCAGACAACCTTGATCACTGCAGGGACCTCTGAACCCTCCCAATAAGCCAGCTCCCCTCTCACTCTCCAAAGGGTACTGCTTGAGAAAGTCACAGTTGCTCAACCGTGAGGCAGAGAGGGAGGGTGATCATTCTGTGCCCCTGAGTACAGTTTCCCCCAGAGAGTTTTCTGTCTGATTAAAGAAGCCAAAATGATCCTGTGGGTCCTAGGAGAAATTCTGCCCCAATGACTGGTATGGAGGATTTTCAAAGTCTGGTGTGGTTCTTGTGAGAATCAGACTGGGGCTTTGTCCACAGTGACAGATGAGAGGGAGACAGAGAGTGAAAAGGAATGATAGTGATGGAGAGGGGAGAGGAAGGGTGGGATGGAAAGGGAAAGAAGGGAAGGGGGAAAGAGAGGGAGGGGAAGGAAGAGAGAGACATTTGGATGCTTGACCATCTTTGGCCCATAATTCCTAGTGATTCACAGGTAGTCAAGATTATGGGAATGGGCCACCCTGTCTGGCTAGGTGACACAACTTGGAGGTCTCACCAGAGTCTGTGACATGAATGTGCCAGAATACACTCACATCATTGTGTAGTGAGGTTCCAAATGAAGAGGCAAGTTAAAAACTGCTGTTGGTTGGATTCTGACTTTACAATAAGGGATGACAAAGAATTATGGTTCCAAAATTTTTGTTTAAGTAGGAAACCTGTAGTTCCAAAGCCCCCATTCATTTCTGGACCTCCTTTAGTTGTAACCCTTCACATTCATAAGACTGGAATAATCAACATAATATGACTGTGGCCATATAGTTTATTAGACATAGTGAAAAAGCAAGGAAAACTTAGTGCTCCCTACATAGAACCCTATGCCCGGTCATCTCCTGTAACTCCTCCTGACTACCCTTCCTGCTCCTGGGAGGCTAGGAAAAAGTCCTGAAGTATTTACAGATCATTGAGAGGGAGGAAAAAGGAAGGATGCATGCCTGTGTGCGTACATGTGTGTGTGTGTGTGTGTGTGTGTGTGTGTGTGTGTGTGTGTGACCCCAGGTCTGGATTTCTGAATTTAAACAGAAATATGGAGTGAGGTTGGTGTTTCTACTTTTGGTACATCATTCCATGGGGATTCAAGTTAACTGATTGTATCTGGCACTCAGGGCCTTCTCTCATTCTGGTCCCTGTTT